ATTTGTCGATTCACTAATCAATGATGAATAATGCATCAGCGATTGAATCTCTTGCATGATTTAATATTGTCTTCAGATGCTTATGCATGAGACGTGATTTCATAAATAAAGAACAGGAAATTAATGCAATCTTTTTGAGAAAAATTTTCGGAGGGTTTTTTATTGGGAATTTGATTCTTAAAAAAAACTAATTCGTAATCGTTAATGTACACATTTTTTTCAAAAATTAAAAAAAAACCGTGTACCTTAAAAATTGAAGCCCCTGGACTATTTTCAACATTTTAAGTGTCAGCGGAGCAAACGAACAATAAACAATTCATTTTTTTGCACTAATTATTCGTTTTTAGACACGTATAATCGATCTTCAATGTATGAGAAATCTCATTCCAATAGCCCGCGAATTTTAAAACTCATAGTAGTCTCCAATTAACCCTAGATTGGTCACCCTTTGAGGGAAACACTGCCGCGCATCGTTTTTCTTTAATTACAATTGACTGGTTAACCGGAAAAATTGAAAAAAAATTGACTTTATCAATTGAAGTGTCTAAAAGTTATAGTAGTTTTTAAAACAACATATTTCCCGAAATTCCTAAAGAAAACAAATTATTTAGAACAGATGAATTATTTTTTCCCATGTGAAATGAAATTATGACGCGACGTTGCCGGAAACTCGCTAAACGCGCCCGGGCAGGGTAGAATGAACTCGGCAACGCTAAAGTCTAAATAACACGGTTCCCGGATTTTTTCCCCCCGAAGAAATCCCCCGGAGAAAATACTAGAAAAAATTCCCAGAATTATTTCCTCTTACGAATGTACAAAACAATTACACAAACACACATTACCAACGTCAATTTTATTTATCACATTTTTCAATCTTCGAAAACACGCCAGATGAGAATTCAACTTTTTCAATAGATCAACAATAAATAAATTACGTTAATGCAATAAATTAATTGTCAACATTTTCAAACCAATTCCCCCATATAATTCGAATTATTTTCTCTTCCCGCAATAATCAATGAATCTTCATTAACAAGCATTTTCGTCCTACAAAGGTCGCAGATTCATTAAAAAAAACATTGACAATATTCAACGAAACATCATCTTACACTACAAAAACAACAATAAAAAAAGCTCAGGGGAAATTGTTCCAACTTGTTAATGTTTGAACAATATAATATCATGTGTAACTTGGAGAAGTAACAAGAATGCTTTCCAACATCAACAATAAAGTTAAAAATTATAATGTTTATTTTTCATTTTTGCCGCAGATTGTTTTTTCTGTTTTTCAGGGGAAAATATTTCGGGGAGAAAATTCCGGATCACCAAAAATCACCAAAATTTTTGCCGCTCATGGTAATAGTCTAATCAGTTTCATCATTCAGAGATATTTGCAAAAAGGTTTGTAGAAGATTTTTGGACCAATCGTATAGAAAATTGGACTAGGGTAAGTTACCCAGTAGATGGACACTGCCTTATAGATGGACGAGCTACTTTTGAATAGGAAATTACGTAAAAAAATGTTGAAATGGGAATTGTTGCTTTGAAATTTCACCAACTGTTGTGATTCTTAATCCCTGAATGGCGAGTTTTTTTCGATCAATTTTTTTTTTCAATTGCACGAAGAGAAATATTCACTTGTAATACCACAAGAGCTGCAAAATTATCGGGTATTTTCCGATAGGTTCGTTTGTATGCAGGGAACCTTGAGGAAACTGCCCGATTAATTTTGAAGTTCGTGTGGTATTCGGGGGATTATTTTTCCAATCCAAATGTCGGGCAATATAATTGGACCATGAGACGAAACTCACAATTGAGAAACGAAAATTGTATAATTAACACTCATTTCGAATAAAAATCCTCGGATTACCACAGTTGAATTCAATCTGTCAGTTTGACGAGGGGTTAATTCGACTGCATGATGTTTTGTTTTTTATATAACAAGGTACCAGAGAAAATCATCAAAAAATTATCAGTTGAAAACCCTGTAGCTTGTACCACGTGATGTCGAATGGGCCAATTATATTGCTCGATATTTGGGTTGGAAAAATAATCAATAAAAATTGCGTATCTTTTCCGTAATTCCGGAGTGAAATGTGGTTGTAGGAAATTTTACGGAACTGTCACGGAATTTTTCTAGAGCGTTCCGTAATTTTCACCTGAATAATATCCTGTGAAAAATTATGATACCGTCTTTAAATTTTCTGAGTCGATTCCGTAATCGGTGAGCGAACTGTGAGTTCCGTAATTTTTACAGAACATTTCTCTCTGTGTGTTAAAAAAACAAACGTCCATCTACTGGGCAGTTTACCGTAATTGCGAAAAATACTTTTAATCAAAAATAGAAAAATTGATTAGTAACTCAAGTCGAATAGTTCGAAGTAAAGTTCCCTGACGGAAGCTGATCGTGTAAATTGAAACGAACAGTCAAGGGAGGGACACGGAGATGCGTGAGATGAATTGAAACGTGGATGGTCTTTCGGTCTTCGCTCTCTGTTCAGTTTGGTCGTGTCTAGGGATGTGCATCGTAAAAAAATTTAGTCGAGTGTCAGCAGCGAGCGTGACGACACTCTCAACCAGGATCAGCCGGCTCCTTTTGTCCCTGGGGACAATGGCACTTGGGCACGCGACACTTAATTCTATTGGTGCATGACAAAGAAATTTCTTTGATTTTTTGCGTTCACCACGAGAATATTAATAGACATTTTCTTCGGGTTTGATAGAAAATTTAACTTGATGAATCTTTCCTTTTGTGTTCGAATTATGTAAATTATTTCTTTTGTGATATTTTCAGTTTTTTTCTGTAAGGGGCGAAAGGGAAATGATTCAGACAATTTTGACGACGCTCTGTTAAAATTTCTTGGTTGAAATCTTCGATGCATTCCTTAGAGATTGCTATAAAGCGACAGTTCTTCTGAAATATTTAAGAATTCCATCACTGAAAATTCATTATTCGATGAAAAAATCGATGGAAATCGTGAATTTCAGTTCAATAACTTCATGAAAAGTAGTGGAAATCAGGAAAATTCAGGTAAATATGTTCTCGAATTTTTAATTAATTGGAAATTGTGCGTAATTTTGTACCGAAGATTCAGTAGTAAAGCGGTGAAACGGTTCAAGTCCATTTCCATTGTTGATTAGTTTTCGATGAATGTTTCGGAATCTGGGGCAGATAGAAAAATTTTTGTTCCGACCGTTTTCGTCGAGCGAATTGTCCTAAATTTTTAGCCTATATTAATATATAGGCTAAAAATTCAGGACAAACCTCTTCTCTATATGTACAACAAAGGGTGAAACTCGCAGCCCAATCCAAAATTTGACGCCGAAAACCAGAACGATATTTAGGAGAATCTGCCATATAATCGATCTTCAATGCATGAGAAATCTCACTCCAATCGCCCGCGACTTTTAAAACTTACAGTAGTCTCCCCTTAAGCTTGCAAAATAAAAATAAACTGGAAGTCTAGTCTGCGAAAAAAAGTAAATATTGGAATAGCATGTGCAATCCATACGATTTCAATATTTACTCACTGTTTTTTTACCCAAGATGATGGAGTATGACGAGATAACTTGTTCTGCGGATGTAATTTGCGCTAAATCACTGATGAAATAATTAATGAGCCAGCGCGCGTATTGCGTGTTGCGTATAGAAAAATTGAACTCGTGAATGACGATTATAGAGTCGACAATATCCTCCTGCTTTACTAGATCTATTTCATTTTTTAGTTAATCTATTACATTGAATAATCACGGGTATAATTCGGAAATGACTGGTTGGTTTTTTTTTTGTTGTTAATAATATTTTCTGAGTGATGAAATAATTTTTCCGTCCCGGCGGGCGCAAAGTTACATTTCCCTCCAGGAGGGAACTCTGACTTTGCGCCTGCGCCGAGATGGAAAATCGCGTTCTAACCACGGGAAGTAAAATAATAAATAACCTCGCCTTTGGCTCGGCTGGTAATTGCACTGGCGGCTGAGGATCCTTTATTTTCCCTCCCTAGGTTAGAAATATACTATAGTTCTTCTGATTGTCGAAAATTTGTTTTTTCACACATCTGCACAGAAAGTTCGTACTTTGCTCCCTGAAGAGCGGGAGGAAAGTGAGTACTTCCCGCGCTCGGGTGGAAAGTCACTCCCTCGGGTGGAAAGTACTCACTTTCCTCCCGCTCATCAAAGAGCAAAATACGAACTTTCCTTTGCAGGTGTGTTAAAATAGTATATTTCTAAGCTAGGGAGGGAAAATAAAGGATCCTCAGCCGCCAGTGCAATTACCAGCCGAGCCGAAGGCGAGGTTATTTATTATTTTACTTCCCGTGGTTAGAACGCGATTTTCTGTCTCGGCGTAGGCGCAAAGTCAGAGTTGGAGGGAAATGTAACTTTGCGCCCGCCGGGACGGAAAATAGCATGTGCACCTCGGGCGGGAAAACATGACTTTCCGCCCTTGATGCACAATATACTATTTTTTTTCATAATTGCAAAATAGAAAGTTCTTATATTCTGCGAGTCATTAGATCATCTTGATAACGAATTGAGGGCAAAGTGTCAAGAGCCTTTTTTAATCTGAAATATACTTTACTCTAAATTTAGTTATTATAGAGATAATGAGGAAATTACACATCAGTGAAATTTTTATATTACTTATTATTTTCATAAAAAATTTACTTTTGTTTTAATCTAATTCTCATCATTGAATGTAAATTGTCTTCGTCATGAATCAACATTTTGCCAATTGAATTCAATGAATTTAATAGTGAAAGTGGCAAAATGTGACGTAATAAATGGCACAATTTTCTTTTTGAAGTACGAAATCATGTGAATAACGGCTGCGTTTGGAGGAAATCATCTCTCAACATTCAATATTAAATGCGCTCATAACAAAAATAAATGATGAGACGAATCCACTTGTTTTGCTACATTGTGACACTTCACTTAACTATTTCCAATCAATGTTCTTCGAGTTTAGGTTTAAAAATAGTTACAGTTCTTTACAATTTACTTACGAAGTCATGCGAATTATCGAGCCGCCAGGCACTTTATTATTGACAATCCGAGTTCCTAGTCGCTGCAACAAAAATAGCCCCAACAATGTTTCATCTTATGAATTTACCATTAGTAAACACTCAAAACATGTCTTTCTTTCTTTTCGCTGTTTAAGACACAAAGTTGTCACTGATAATCACTTTACTATCTTCGTAAAACACTTTCTTATTCATCAATGAAATGAAGCCGAACAGGTGTCAATATTTCAGGATAATCCTTATCTTTCTATTTTATTTCGATGTTATTTTGAAAAAAAATCAGTGGAAAAATAAAAACGAGACGATTGTATCTGCACTCGAGGTGAGGTCACTCGACAGGTCTGCGGCGCGGCAGAATCGCGCTCTCGACTGACAAAATGCTTGAGCCTTGCCACCGCCGTTACGGTGAGTCCCCCTCCACCTACGCTCGACAAACGCGATGAGAATTGAATGGAGATACCTCTTAGCGGAGGGAAAAATTGGGTACCTCGGTCAGGGGCAGATGCAACTCGTCCACTTCCATAAAATGTTGCATAATTATTTTGTAATCACGTGTGAATTATTTGACAACTCGCTCACGTGATCATTCATTCTCGAATTTCACTCGCAGCTGAGGCGAATTCGATGATTGCTAGGTATCGATGGGGAAATATGCAGAGCGACATAAATACGAGAATTTTTCATTATCATTCCAGGAAAATACACCGTACCGTATATTGGAGTGGACTCAATCTCCCAGCTCCGAGAAAAGTTGCTCAAGAGAACATTTTTTTGCACACGGGGTGTTACGGAATTTATTTTCAAATTGATAATTTATTTACATTGTTGAAAATTTTCATCTAGTGAATTATGTTAAAATTTACTATTTGATGAACAAATTAATGAAGAGTGTAAACTTCCGTTCAATCATTCCATGAAAATTAATAGAAATGAAAACCGAGGTAAATACGTCATTGCATTTTCGGAGAAATTACAATTTTCATGCTTGCCCCCCACCTCCTTGGATTAAATCTAATGTAGGGATGGGCGATATTTTTGAAAACATCGATGTTGTGAATTGATTTTTCTGGAAAAAACATCGATTATTGAAAAAATCGATGTTATTTCTCATTACACAGAAAAAAAATTACTTTTTTATAATATTTTTTTGATGTCGTTTTTATTGAACATATGTATTTAAAAAATATAATCCGAGGAACTTACGTTTCAATGATAAGTACTGTTGGAGAGTCAAATTTTGAATTACTGTTCTACAGCGTTACAAAACGCCGTTAGAAAACATTTTAAAAATCTGAAAAAAAATTGAAATTTTTTTTTTTTTTTTTTTTTTTAATGCTCATTTTATATCGCTTCGAGTCTGATGAGACTATATGGCGATTGATCAAGACTTTAAAAATGGTTAGATCTCACCATTCTACCCGGCCAGGAATCGAACCTGGAACCTGTCCGTTGTGAGGCAACGGCCTTAACCACTACGCCAGGCCACCGG